AATGTTGAAGAGCACAGGATAGAGCTGTGTGGCCCTCCAAGTTGATAGGGATCCATTAATGCGCACACTTGGGATGTGGTCATTCAACCCACCATGAATCCATCTATCAATGAAGCAACAGTCTTCTATGGGAAGAGGGTCTTAAGGAATGCCACTGTAAGCCAGTTTAATCTGTATGGGGACAGCTTTTTCCCCCTTTTCTGTTTAGCTTGTAGTTTCCAGGTAAAAGACTAGCACTAGAAATAAATTTCAAACAAACTTTATTGGCTACCATAAGAAACTGGAATACAGTAAATTTAAATTGAAAAATCCAAGTCTATAGAAATACAGACAGAAGAACAGTAAACATGAGATATAAACAAACTTGATCAATAAAACAAATTAAAAAGAAAGTTTAAGAAAAACCTTATGTAGACAGACGTTTTTCCCCACCCCTCCCAACGCTACTTCCCTTCAGTTCAGCTGGCCAAATTACAAAAAATTCTGATTAAGCTAACATCAGATCCTTCTATAGAACAGTATATATTCAGAGGGAAAACCCTTACTCTTTGTGATGCTGACAAGGTTTTATTGTCACAGCTAGCAGCAAGCCTATCTTTTATATTTAAATCAGCAAAAGTTGGGTTCATACATAGTGCTAAACCAGAGTTTAAACTAGGGTTTGTCTCATAGGCCGCAGTAGCCTAGTTTGCATGTAATACAAAGCCCGAGCAAAACTAACCGTATTATGATTCAGTGCAAGAGTGAAGAAACTTGACCTTTTCAGGTGTTGCTGAAGTCCAATCCCAGCATTATTTATCACTGGCCCTGCTGGTTGGGACTGACTGTGGAAACCAGCATCAACTGGAGGACCTCAGGTTCTCCATGTTTAGGTAAATGCAATGTGTGAATCTGGCCAATGTATACGTGTGTGTAATATATTAGCAAAAATCAGTTCTGCACCATTCCTACATACAAATCAATAAAAATAAAATAAATAAATAAATGAACAGCGTTTGTCCATCCTTTTTAAAGCTCCGCGTGGTTCTCGTGTTGCACTTCTGCATTTAGCTTTTGCCAACTGAGTCTAATCTTTCTTTTTAAAAAAAAACATGGGAATGCAAGCAGCCTTACGTTAAGAAAGAGATGGGTTGCTGCTGGCAATTCAAACCTCTGGCGGCAATGCAGCTTTGTTGTCTTCAATGGCTGATTACTTGCAAGAAAGTGAAATGCAAGTTTTTCTGATTCCGTTCTACTTCAACTGTCATGGAAATCACCCTGGTTGAGGACAATACTCTGTTTTTGTATATCTGGATCATTTCAGTTATGTTTCACAAAGAAAAGTTTAAATATTCCATTATGAACGCTGATTTGTATATTTTATGTATTTATTTTTCGAATTTATATATGCCGCCCATCTCACTATACAAGTGACTCTAGGCAGCAATTGAATAATGAACATCACTGCAGTATAATAATACATGGCTTTTTTCTAGTACTGCCCAGAAAAAAAAAATACACACAGAATTGGAACATATGTAGTATCAGTCTGCAGTCTTAGCTGAGGTGGAATAAGGTGTTGGGAAAACTTTCTGGATTTTAAAAACTGCACCCACTCTTTTAGTCTAGTTTTCCCCAACTTGCATGGCTCCCTGTGCACGCTGCCCAACTCCCAGGTTCCCCCAGCTGGAAGGAATATTGCTGAGAATTCTGGAAGTTGCGCATCTCGCAGACACCCCGGTGGGGGAGGCTGCGGTTCTGTATTACTTATCCTAGTTCTTGCTGCATAGAGCTTGGATGCTGGAATATGGACTGCAGAGGCCCTATTTTACTCCCAAGGCGAAGCCTGGGAGGACACTAGCTTACAAGTATCAGTACAAAATTCAGACAGAAAAGGTTTCAGCTGCATTGTTTGAATATCTACGCAGAGAGAGCAGCTAAGCCTGAGCGTGCAGGACAATGCTCCTGGCAGGACGTGGAAATGCGTCCTTTATTTCTCCTTCCTGTTATTTAGCTTCTGACCACTTCAGTGACAAGAACCGTGCATTCTTAGTAGCAGAGTTCCTAGTTGTTTCCCACTTTCTAATCTCTAAAGAGGCCAGGCTACCAAAGCCAACTAAAAGGTTAAAAAATCATCATCATCATCATCATCATCATCATCATCATCATCATCATCTTTGCTTTAGGTCAACAGGTAACTTCATATTTTTTACTACTTGGTAAAATTATCCTTTTCCAGTTTTTAGTCGTTTCCAGTTGGGGGTAGGAGCGGGGACAGGCTTCAATGTAGTCTCTAAATCTATTTTCTGACTTTTTCCATTGAATTAGATGCAATAAACTGTGCAGATGGTCATCTAAATCCAAGATTGCTCCTTAAAGCTACGTGAAAGATGTGTAATCCAGCAAGAGGGAAACCTTTTATCACTTGTACATTTCTCACAGAATATGGCCAAACTACAACACAGAATATCCTCCACTATAGTGGTTAGAATCGGCTTTTTCTATTAGCCCAACAAGGCTTGCGTATTTTCAAATACATTGTTTCTCCAAGCTGATGTGGACCAATGCATCGTTGGTAGCCTAGTACTTTGGGGAGCGGCAGCTGAAAATGTTAGGATTGAGCTGGTGCCATTCTACTGCCATGTGCCATAGTACAGTGTTCCCCAACAAGGTACTCTTGAGATGCACTGAGCTACCTCTGTCAGAATCCCGTCACAATCGTCTTTATTGGCAGGAAATTCTGGGAGATGCAATTCAAGAAATATAAAAAACGTCTTGCGCAATCTTGACTTAGTACCAGCTTGCTCAGGTTATGCCAAGGCTTACACGTTGGCACAGCACTTCTCTCTCTACCTCCAATCCTCACCTCTGTCCTTGGTCTGAGTAGTGGTGTTTTTGTTACGTATAATCAAAATGAATCCACAAAAATGAATAGCTCGGAAAACAGATTTACTGGCAACTGGGAACTTGCAGAACAGGGAAGAGTCCTGACTGGCTGGGTTTTCATTTAACCAGCAAAGCAGATGGTTTGGTGTTGTTTTGATAAGTTGTGTGAACCCATCCACTGTTTTATTGTGATTTGTGAACCATAGTTTAAGACTGCACAAAGTGTAAACCCAGTGTGCTAGGGCTTATGCAACACATTAAATAAAATTGCAGCTTAGGGTGATGGGTGAACCTAGGCACCATAGATAAGGGCGTTGTTCAGAGCCTCCTTCTCTGACTTTTTAAAAAACCTCTAGGAATGGATAAAGCCTTCCATTTATCAGCTGGCTTACTGATCTGCATGCAACTTCTCATACCCCATGGCTGTGGGGTGAGACCTACAGCTGGAACAACCAACAGTTTTCACAATCAATTTGTTATCTGCTATCAAGTTATAAGTATAGTCTCAAGCACATTTACTCACAATCAAGTCCCGATATGACTGTACCCAAAGTTGACTAAATCCGCTACTGGCACCCCATCTTCCCCTTCAGGTAGAACTGTGAGCAAAGATTGGAGACTTCAGGCAAAAGAAAAGGATTAACGCATAACAAGAATACAGTAAACAAGAGATCAGTGGTGAATCACCAGAGAAGAGCATAAACGTTTCTATCACACAGAAACAACCACATCAAGACTCTTGCGTCATACCTGGATTATATTTTGGATAGCTGGATTGAAATTTCTCAACTTCTATTTAAATGCTCCTTGAAATAAGAACGAATGGAGATGTTCCTTCACTGCACGATGACAGAAAGATCCACCAGGATTCTTCCACTCGGCATGTAAGGGAACATGCCCAGCTGAAACGCCTGTGGGGGTTCCCAGTGAGAAATGAGAGGGAGACATAACCAAGGATGCCCTTACATCCTATGGGCATCTCTGTACAACCATCTCTGAGTGGTTGATCTGTACAAAAGGGTCATGGCTTATAAATTAAGTTAAATAATGTTATTAAGGACTTAAAGCTTTATTCTATCCAACTAAAGTATTTTTATTATAGCGATAGCGTTTTTATTAAACACGCGCGCACACAAATGTAGGAGAAATTGTTAGAAGATAATAAACAGCAGAATGTTGTTTCTGTGAAGCAGAAGCTTGTGCTTAAAATAAAAAAAAAAATCTGTGAGTATATTTATATTCAGTTGCTTTAAAAGTCATGGCTTCCCACTGAGGAACAGAGCAAATAAACCCTGGGGTGTATGGATCTTTTAGAAACAACCATGATAAATAAAAGATGATTACTTTGCATTATTTTAAACAGAACACTTGCCTACAATAAACACTAATTTCGGTTATATTTTTCTTGCTCCGTTTGTCATTTCAAGGCAACCTTTATATAGCAGTGCCATTTTTTTTGTTTCAGCTTGCATCAATAAATATATTTCTGAAGGGGTTCCAACATTTCATCCATTTTTGTATACTTCCCCTCCCACCTTTACTCTATACATTTTTAATCAAGAATTCTCAACAAACTATATTTCCAAGAATTTCTTTGGGGAAGCAAAGCCAGCCAATGTCAAAATGGCTTTTAATTTAAATATGGCTGGCGAGACCATGCTGTGGGTGCAGACACTTCATTCTTCCTTGGATCAACCCACTCCTTCTTCAATATGCACACTGGAAAAAACAACTCATGGATAGTATCTAGTTTCATCAAGCAAAGGATCCCTTTAAGCTTTCTGTGAAGGCTAATTAAAATGGATAAGGAACTCCAGATTCTCTACACTACTTTGTTACTGGAAAGTAGAAGTTTCCCATCCAGATTGCTTGCCTCTCAGCTCCTGCACTCCATCTTTATTTCACTCACATGGGCAGCCTGAGGAACATCACCACGGGCAAGCTGAGTCGAAGTTCCCAGACCGGTCAGAGCCTGGGGCTCACTGCTTTGCTTAAGGGATGGGGCCAGCTTCTCCTCCTTGGCCCAGGGATGCTCAGGAGCTGGGGACAAGGTAGCTGCTCCCGGCCGGGATGACTCAGTTTCAGAAAGAGCAGTTCCCAGGCTCCCATCCTTCACGTGGACTCTCTGATGGGACACAAGACGTGAGCTCCGGGCAAAGCATTTCCCACAATCGGAGCAGGTGTAAGGTTTCTCTCCAGTGTGAATCCTCTGGTGAGTGACCAGGTCAGCATTGATCCGAAAGCTCTTCCCACAGATGTGACATTCATAAGGTTTCTCCCCTGTGTGGATTCTCTGGTGCTTAATAAGGTCTGAGCTGTAACTAAAGCTTTTCCCACAGATGCCACAGGGATAAGGTCTTTCCCCAGTGTGGACTCTCTGGTGGCAGATCAGGTGGGAGCTCCGCTTAAAGCCTTTCCCACAATCAGGGCATTCATAAGGTTTCTCTCCAGTATGGTTCCTCTGATGGGTGACCAAGTCATAATTGACCCGGAAGCTCTTTCCACAAATGGAGCACTCGTACGGTTTCTCACCAGTGTGGACCCTTTGGTGCCGAATTAGATGCGAGCAGTCTCGGAAACGCTTCCCGCAGATCCCACAGGGGTAGGGCCTTTCGCCAGTGTGGACTCTTTGATGGGAAATGAGGTGTGAGCTCCGGGTAAAGCTTTTCCCACAGTCAGAGCATATGTAAGGTTTCTCTCCAGTGTGGCTCCTCTGATGGTTGACCAGGTCATAGTTGGACCGGAAGCTCTTCTCGCAGATAATGCACTCATAGGGCTTCTCCCCTGTATGGACTCTCCGATGAGACATCAGCTGAGAACTCTGGGAGAAACCTTTCCCACACTCTAGACAGATGTAAGGCTTCTCCCCAGTGTGGACCTTTTGATGGGCCACCAGGTCTGAACTGAAAAGGAAGTTCCTCCCGCACTCAAGGCAAGAAAATGGCTTCTCGTCAGTGTGACTCTGCATGTGCTCAACCAAGTCAGCTTCCTGGCTGCAACCTTTTCCACACACAGGGCATGGGTGCAGCTTCTCCTCTTTGTGGACCCTCTGATGCTCCACAAGGCAGGAGCTCCCATTAAAACATTCCCCACAAACAGGGCAAATATACTGTGTCTGCGACGGATAAACCCTCCCACCCTCAGAAACGTCCCCATTGATGGGAAGAGAGTCACTGTCCAAGTCACGCTTCAAGCTTCTCAGTTCCATCTCTGAACTAGCCTCATTGGTTTCACCTCCTTCTGATTCAAGGTCTGGAGACACATGACTCTGGCAACTTTCAGAAAGCATCCGATGTGGTTCTGCTGGCTTAGGGCCACCCTGTTTGGAAGTACCCTCCTCTTCCTCATTCACCATCTTTTCAATGACTGGACAGAAAAAGAATCCAGATAATAATTAGCAATATTAGTAAGAATCTGCATGGCACTCACCTGTACTGCTGATCCAAAGAACAACCCTATCTACAATGGTAGAGAAAGGTTATTATTTTGCTAATGGCACTGGGGCGAAGGGAGACAGTAGTTTGCCAAAAGGCATTTGAAGAGTACAAGAAGAAATTCAAGCCAGGGACTTCTTGACCTCCACTTGGCCTCTTGGAAGTTGCACTATACCAGAAACTGGTTAGAGTACTGGGAAAAAATTATTGATATTTGTACAGAGGACCCAGGCGGCTTCAGTAACATCACTAACCAGCCAGCTGCTGGAAAAACATTAGAGTTGCGTGGCACCTTAAAGGTTACCATGCTTTACTAAGCTTCATGTCAAACAGAGAAGGAAAAAATATGGAGGAGGAGTAAGTGGCAAAGTGCAACCTGTGACCATTTTAGGTGAAGTCTGATTATCTTCAAGTAGAGGCAGACACCTTCTCAGCAAATGGGGCTGATTTTTCATAGACCTGGTTTAGCAGCAAAGAATAAACAGGAGATATAGGTATATTCCTATGGTGGGAACTTCTTGTGGCCAGGGGGAGAAGGAGGAAGGGTGATCGGAGCGTTATGGATGAGCAATAGCTTGAATTCCATTGTTTCCTGCCAAAATACAGGAAGAACTTCACGTATATCACTGTAAACCTCCATGACCCAAAACAGATATAAAGTCTGTCCATCTCTGGCTGTAGTACAATAACAGGTTGGGATAAGGGGGCAGAGAACTCAGAATTCTTTGGCAAGGGAGAAGTTAGGAAAAGCCACCATGGTTAAAAAGTCCAGAGGATTAAGACTGGTAGTTGGTGTTTATGGCCTTATTAACCCTTTCCAGTTCTTATCGTTCTGTAGTGCCCCGATATTCTTGGTGGCATATACGTGAGCTTTGCAACATGAATTGTTTATGAGATGCCTTTGTACTTCTTAAGTTTGCTTTTAGTCATATTTTTCGCTAGTTTATATTCAATTTGTATTACTAGCTGCACAGAATTATTTGCTTAAGCTGGGCAGCCGTATACATTTTCTGAATAAGTAAATAAAGAAGTAAATCTGCAGCAGAAAGCTTCCTCTTGTCTTAATTATAAAAACAACATGCCAGAGTTGTGTAAATTGTATCTAAAAGCTTAACAGGGCTCCTACTTAACTGGAACAGAAGTCATTATTTAAAGCTGGTTCCCAATCTTTGTTGAGTTTTCATTAGCTTTAGTTCAGATCACTGGTGATGTTATGTTTTAAGTATTGCTAAACAAGAAGACACAAATAATCTTGTATCCTACTTCAGTTTTCTAACCAGGTTCAGGACCTCTGAGCTGAGTATTTGCCCTGACTATCTCAGAGTTCAACCGAGTCAGATACTCACTTAAAATACTTTAAGCACCCTTGGTATCAGATTTTCCCCCCATTCATGCTCCATTTATTTCAGAAACATTGCTTGTCTCTGCCGTGTTTCCGTCAGCCAGCACAATCTTTACAGAGTTGGCATTTTTCCTCTCCAACCATGCAGACCAGGGACATTTTTTTTAAAATAAAGATTTAACTTTAATTACAGGAGTGTGTCAACATCCTTCTCATGCTACCCAAGAGCTAATGGAGCTCCTCCTTAAGCCCTTATTCAAACTTGATATTTCATGTTGGCGTTAAGTGGCCTTAAGAAACCCACTATCTTTGGCATAACGTAACTGTTTATTCAAGTTGCCCAATTTTGTGGATTTGTGCGACATGCTGAACTATAACATAACCACACAGTTTGGGTTGGGCTTGCCCAAACACTAGGCCAGCATTTCTTAAAGCGTGGTCCAAAGACCACTGGGGATCCCCAAAGAAATCAAAATTATTTGTCAACCTATGGTGAAAAACAATATAATATTAAAATCCCATCAAACAATCATGAGAAGTGGTAGTGGCAGTGAATGTGTCAATTTCAATGTTTAATACGGTTAATATTGATAAATGTAAACCATACACACAAAACTCATTTGGGGTCCTCCATAATTTTTAAAAGTGGGAAGGGGTCCTGAAAGAAAAAAGTTTAAGAAACACTGCGCTAGGCTAAAAGTGTCGGGCTACATTGTGGCAAACAGGAGTTTTTCAGGCTCATTCCTGAAACTTAATAGATTGCAAAAAAGAGGAAAAAAAAGTTTTACATTGGGGTTACTGTATCTGGAAGATCACTGGAAAGCTGCAAAATGATAGGATTCTTCCCCCCCCCCCCCCATAATGGAGAAGATACAAGAAGTGACCTTTAGCTGCAGTGGGTAGCTCAGGGTTGAAATTTTGAGGTCTTGGTGTTTGTTGAGCTTGGTGTTCTTCTTGCAAATGTTTCATTACCCAACTAGGAAAAATTTGACACAAGGGGGCGGGGTTTCCTACCTTTTTATGCATAGTAGCTTGTCCTACCTGCCTTGATTAGGGTTGTTGTATGCCTGTTTCTGACTGGGGTACATGATTGGGGTACTGTTTCTGACTGGGGTACCTGGGCTGTCTTGTTTCATCTAAAGCAGTGTTTTTCAAACTTGGCCACTTTAAGATGCGTGGACTTCAACTCCCAGAATTCCCCAG